ACATAATGTTTCTATAAAGTGGGGCAGGGCCAACTTTGCAAGGACAGTCTGGCGCTTCTGACTCACATCCTGTAAGTACGTTTTTTATATTTAAATAATTTGCCAATGATGATTCAAACGTGAGTTTTGAGCAGTGTAGAGTAGCGCTTGTTGTTTGTTGTTTCTCCGATTACAAATGCAGACATGGTTTTATGTTTACGCAGTGTGATACGCAATGCAATGCTTAAAAAGACAGTATAAGTCATTATAATCAGTAATTATGTCCCCACTGGATGCAACAAATGCCTCGTTTATAATGGGTTTTAATGTTATTGTCTCGTTGCTCCGGCCTGACAGGGCATCACAGTATGGTAAGGGGCGTAACATTTCCGTCACACGCTTGAGGCATTCGGCCAATCACAACGCACTGGATAGCTGGCCAATCACAGCACACCTCGCTTTTCAGACCGATGAGCTTTGTAAAAATGTACGCGTTTCAGAAAGGCGGGGCATAGAGGAGAAACAATAATGTACATTATATGGAAAATAATGTTTTTTGAACCTTAAACCGCATAAACACATTGCATTACACCAAATACACAAAAGAATGTTATTTTTAGCAGCATCACATAACCCCTTTAAGACCAGACGTGAGTAGCTTGTTTTGTATGGATTGAAGTTATACATTTATCAGAAGAACATCTGTAAATCACTTTGCACCTTACTGTTGAAATAAGCATAACATTAAAATGACAGAAGAGTGAGGAGTTATACCTGTTTTGAGGGCAAGTTCAATCCTCACATCGTAATAGACTGTTAAGGCATCCTCATGTTCTCTCAAAACAGCAGCTTTATAAACTGTAGAAATGGATTAGATTGATGTAGCATCTTACTGATCACCACATTAATTAATAATTACAGTATATAGGAAAAAAAAACTCACTCATTGCACCAAAACATGCACACACACATAATAAATTACCGTAATTTATTTTAGGATCACAGGCTTTCTTATTACGGTGAGCCTCAAGAATTTTCTCCTTCTTTTGAAGGCTGCAGTTTTCTGTTTCAGCAATGGAAAGAAAAATTAACCTGATGTAGATTAAAGGTATAACTTTGTATGTCTTCTTTGCACTTTTTTTTTTTTTTGGAATTATTATTACACTGAAACACGCTACCTTCGGCACACTGACAGACATCGTTCTTACAGATTTTCTGAAAAGCTCCTTCCTTCCTGGTGGGATGATAAAACCTCACACAGCGATTTTCTGAAAATGGAAGAACGGTCACATAATGTTCATTGTCCTGCAGCATCAGAAATATTAAAGTAGTCAGCCGTGAAAATAATGTAAAAACAAGTCAAATATAATATAAAGTGTCAGTGGCTCATTGAGTTTTTTATTTTTATTTTTTTAGAATTTGTGTAATAAATTTGTTTATATTTTTTAATGAATAAAGATTGTTGTTTAATAATGATTCAGTAGCTATGTTTATTTTAATAGATTTACTCTGGAATACTTTTTGCAACAACTTTATTGGATGCTAATACCATAGCCAATGGGCAAAACATATGTAAATAGGGGCGGGAACACAGCGCCGCTCTGTGAAGCGCAGAGTGAAGAGAGAAATGTTTAGTGACACGGTGGTTTCAAATGGCAAACAAGACCATTCTAAATGTAATTCTACTCACATTTTTTCTTTTTCCGGTAACAGAGTACCAAACAAACACGCACACAAGCGCAAGCGCAACCTCCACAATAATCCGTGTATCATTCGATCATTCGTTTTTTTTATTTAATATTGAAAGTAGAAAAATGAGAAAACGGCTCCTTTTGAGTTTTTTCATTTTTTTCCAAAAAACGAAAAACGAGAATTCAGCTTAAGTTTTCATTTTTCGTTCATGGGTAGAAAAATGAATAAACAGCTTGAATATTCGATTTCTACATGTGGGCGGGAATTAAACGCCCCTTTCTGCTGATTGGTCAGCCGAAGATCAAACCGTGACTTCATCAGTTCTTCTGCAGTATCACGCAGCAGAATAATAGTCCTCTGCTGCTGCAGTTGTATGGATTCTTAACGCATTTATTGCAACTACATTTAATAATTTTTGATCAAACAAACAGGCTAATGAATAGCTCGACACAACTCATGCTGGGGCAGAGTCTAGACAGGCCTTTCTTCTGTGTAGATATAAATTCTATTCTTTGCATCAGCTGGGCATGGCAGGGTATGATATGACAGCTGTAGATTAAAGGTATAACTTAATAGCTAAATTAATATTGAGTACTGATTGATGTTCATTTGGATTTTTTTCCCCATCGAGGGGAAATAACTTAATACTCTGTCATTTATAGTCGTATACAAGTTGTGTCGAGCTATTCATTAGCCTGTTTGATGAGAAAAATATGAAATTGCTAAAATGGTTTATTAATCCGACCAACTGCAGCAGTGGAGGACTATTATTCTGCTGCGATACTGCAGAAGAACTGATGACGGCACAGTTTGATCTTTGGCTGACCAATCAGCAGAAAGGGGCACTTAACTCCCGCCCACATGTAGAAATCGAATATTCAAGCTGTTTATTAATTTTTCCACCCATGCGGAATTCTCCTTTTTCGTTTTTTGGAAAAAAAAACAAAAAACGAAAAAGGAGCCGTTTTCTAATTTTTCTACTTTCAATATTAAATCAAAAAACTAATGATCGAATGATACACGGATTCACAATGACCATTTAAACGGTAATGGTTTTTCCATTTCATTATAACTGAAATCAAAGTGTGATTTGCATGTTAGGTTATTAGTTTCTTTACTTGCCCAAATCAAAAAGAAGCCACTCCCAGATC